GATTTCTTTACTTAAATCATTTCTCCTCTCCTGCAATTATATTATTCCATATCAGTATTCTAGTAGGTGTCTAAACAAACAACCACACTATAACCTAGTGAGAAATGGTTATGTCTCACCCAAGAGAGTTAAGATTTGTAGCCCCATTCCATATAACACACTTGAGCTATGAGCTAATAGGTAGATAAAACATGCCAGGCCCTGTCCTAATGATTCTAAGCCTACATGAAACATTTTTCTCCTGTGAGGAATATGGCTTAATTAACCACCTGCTGAACTTCAGTTTGGAAGAAAGGTAACTTACGGTGAAAAATTTTCTCTCATGAAAAATAAATGCAATTTTAAGGGTCAAAAAGCCACAGTAAAAATAGTTCTGGATGGTCACTTTTGCTAAATTATATTATTTGGAGATACAAAGACATTAAAGGTTAACTAGCCTATTCCTTCACTTTACAGAAAACTAAGGCCTAAAAAAAGGTTCAGTGACTTGACTAGAACGACCCAGTATATTTTCAGATTTTGCAAGATGATCCATGTCACTTAGCAATGGTTAAACAACTTCTAATATGTAGTATCTACTCTCAAAGTAAAGATGGGAACAGACTCAATTAGATAATTCAAGCCCCAAAAACGAATGCCTTAGATTACCTGGATATTTGGGAGAGAGTTTGTTTTTTTATCCTTTTCACTGTACATGTAAAAGAAATTCATTACAGAAAATAATTTCAATCCAGAAAATAATAAATTCTTTGTACATGCCAAAGACAACTGCTATTAATAGTTTGGTTCAATTTTTTTTGCTTAATTAGTATACTATTAATTACATATTACCTATTGTCACATCCATCAAATAAACTGTACTATTATTTTTTAATATGGACTCTTCTTCAGTTATTAAAAGAAGGCAAGGAGATGGCAAAGAAGCAGAAACTTCCAGATATATAAGCAGAGGAGAAAAAAATTTGAATTTCTTATTCAAATTATAAAAGCTCATTAAAAAGAAATAAAGCAAAAACTATGACCAAAACCAACACATTTTTTTAACTATTAACAACTTTAAAATAAGGTGATGGCTTTGATATAGCTACAAATTAAAGATAGTTCTCACAAAAATTTTCAACTGTAAAACATGCTTATGTTAGACTTTGAGAATGTATTTTTAGATAGATAGATGGCTCAAATAACTCATTTGTAAGGAATTAGAAAGCCCTCAGTTTTATTTATTTACCTTTCTTTTTTTTTTTTTTAAGTAGGCTCCATGCCCAGTGTGGAGCTCAGCGTGGAGCCCGAAGTCACGACCCCGAGATCAAGACCCCCGTGGAGATGAAGAGTTGGACGCTCAACCAACTGAACCCCCAGGCACCCCATCCCTGTTTTAAATCTGTATAAAAAGCTTATGTCTTATTTTCATTATGCTCCATGTTAAAAGATCTTACAATAAATAAATTATCTGAAAAGTTCTTTAAAAAATTGCTGATGGAACGAAAGAGGAAGGAGGGAAAGAAGGAGGGATGGAGGGAGGATAAACCAGGATCAAGGAATTTGCCTCAATCACTTTTTTGTCTTTTCTTCTTCTTTTCCCTTTATGTAGGAGAAAGAGTAGGCTACTACTCAACCTCCACCGTATGACTGGCAGCTCTGAGAACTCCTTTTAAGATGTAGCATGTTATGAATACATTCCAGCTCATAAAGGAATAAGGAGGAGACATTTCCACATGAAAATCACTTTCTTCTTTTTTTAAGTAAGCTCAATGCCCAATGTTGGGCTTGAACTCATGACCCTGAGATCAAGAGTCCCATGCTTTACTGACTGAGCCAGCCAGGTGCCCTGAAACTCAATCACTTTCTTTTTTTAAATTTTTATTAAAAACATTTTTGTTTTGTTTTATTTAAGAAATCTCTACACTCCATATCAGGCTCAAACTCACGAGCCTGAGATCAAGAGTCCCATGCTCTTCCAGCTGAGCCAGCCGGGTGCCCTCACTTTTAAAATTATATCTACTTTTACCATTGCGTGAATGCAAGCAATGACTGAATGGTACATTTTCTATAGTTAATATATACTGAGAAGGTACTTATTTATAAGCATAAATGCCAAGAAGGTATTTATTTGTAAGAATAAAAACCAGGAGCTATCCTGGGAGACTCCTTTGAAGTCAATCTCCTTGGACATCATAAGGTTTTCCACTGCATACAAGATCTATTTTTATTACGAAAGCTTCTAAGCTTTTTTATTATTATTATGTGAACTTTGTAAATTCTTCAAAGCTAAGTTCTCATTTTTCATGGCAGTGCCCTTTCCCAATTACTCCACATAGTGGGGTATCAGAGTTATTGCTAAACAGATCATTAAAAATGACAGATCAGGTCCTTACACCTGACTAAGTTAGTCCTGACTATAAATTAGGTGCTTTGGGACATGCATGCTCTCTTTTGGATCACTAGAGTCATATTACTGCACTGAAGCACAGACAATTTACTAACTCTGGTCCAAATCTGAGCTGGTGATTAAAAACTGATGGAGTGTCTGGCACTACTAACAGAGTGTTCTTAATACCTGTATTCAGAACACCGCTCTTCCAATTTGAGGCTAACCAGATTAAATAAACATTTGTATTTATGCTTTATCTTCACTAGTATACTTTGGAGAAAATGTTTCGCTTAGATTAAACAAACACCAAGGGTAAGAAAATTTATATTGAAATACTCTATTTGCCTCCATTAAGAGACAAATCACACTGCTTTTCTACTCAATTTTCAAATATAAAAGAACTTTCTGAAACATTTCTTAAGCACTGTCAGCCTTAATATCCTCAATGTTGAGAAATCAATGACGATTTTGGAATGGTAATAGGTACAAAGCATTGTGCTACTGAATTCATCTGAATCTCTTGCACTATTAATATGTAATTTCTTAGTTCTTGTCTTAATGAACTTGACTGGAATATATCAAGAGAACATAGCCAAAGATATACCTCCTTTAGAAATGGAACTTTGATCTTCTCAAGGTCATTAATACTGTTATGTGAAATAATAATTTTGGGTACATACAATGTGTTCATAAAATATTACACATCTTGCAGAAACCTAACAGGACATACTCAAACAGGTAAAATCTGCTTTTACCTCAACACTGATTCACTCTGAAATTAGGTTTGTAGTCTACACTTTAAACACAGAAGCCAGTATCTCTTGCTATCAGATTATAAACACAATGTCTATATTATCAAAGAGTTCATCTACTCCAAACATCTCAATTGTCTGTTAAAGAAATATAGAGTTTCTTTATATTACTCTAAAATAATATTAGGTTTAGAGTTATATTTCAGCCTTATAAAGTCAAAGCTCAAAATATCTTAAAGTTGGGATTTTTGAAAGGCAAAGGAAAAAGAAACTAAACTGCCTAAAGTTAAGATAGGTGTAGCGTGGCAAACAACCTGTTGTCTTTTATTTTTGTACCAGCCTTCTTACATTAAGAGAGGGATCCATGCCATGGCAGGTATAAAAAAAAGAAAGCAAGATTTTGAAACAATTTTTTTTATACTAATTAAAGGCATTTTGGAAATAGTTCCTTGCATTCTTCAAAAGGATTAGCAGCAATATTTTATGTTGGGTAAAAAAAAAAAAACAAAAACACTGCTTCTCTTCTTAAACATCTAATGTAGAGGGTGGGTGATTACTAAATTTATTTTCATATAAGTGTTAAAACTTCCTGATCATGTTCCAAATCTTTTGTAACAACAGAAGAGGCAACAGTATCAACAATGAATTTTGGGCTATACTACACCAACTACATAATACCCTATCTCGTCTAGAAGAGTAACTTATTTTTTAACTTACTGTCTCTAAACTATTCTTTTTTTTTTTTCACTTTAAATAAGAAGTAGGAAAGCAATTAAAGAATTTTTTATCATATGAAATAGCTTATGGATTTTTGTTTTGTTTTTAGAGAGTCAGCTTTTATCTTTGGGCTTTCCATATCAAATTCAAATACATCTTGATGAAGTAAACTCTATCCAAATATTGTAAATAGATAATCAATAAAGCAAGTTATGGTATAAAAAACTTGTAAGCTGAGGTCTATTTAAAAAAATATAAACTTACAAATGGTCTAAAGTAGGTCCTTGATTCAGTCACTGAACATTTTCCAATTTACCTCCAACATAAAGTAGTGGAAGAGATTTGAAATCGGAGAAGGTCTATGCATTGATCATTATCTTAACTCTGGCAGGCTGAGAGGTCTGCCACTGTCTGGACAACATTAAGGAATATCTGTTATATGCAGGGATGTTGCCCAGGGGTCAAACCACAAATTTTTACTCAGAGTTTCCTGGGATGACACTGGACTTGGGGTACCTACTTTTCTGTGTTATGTGGCTATAGGCAATAACAATTTTTTCTTTGATGAAGAAGAAAATGCTATCAAAATTATTAAGAAACAAAAAATCATAGAAGAAATAGCTGCCTTCCCAAGTCCTGATTGCAATGTATTTTAGAATAAGTCATTCAAATTGCCAACAATCCCAGATTGTTGCTTACTCTACACTATCCATCTCTTTTCAGGGAATGCTTTCCTTATATCTGGAAGGTAGGAAATATTAGGGTTTGAGATAAGCAATATATTTTCCTGTAACCAAAACTGTCCGATTGCTTCTTTCAAAGAAGCAATATACTATGATGGAAAAATGTGATTCATTTTCCAAAACTGTGTTTACAAGCAACTTTTCAGGAACATAGCTCTTGTGCTAAGGCAGGAACATCTGTATTTACAACACAGATCTGAAACACCTACATGTTTTTCTGTATAACAGAGCATGTTTCTCTTGGCCAAAACCATGTTTTATCTTCATATTTGAGCAGGAATTTATAAATAGGTCACTCTTGGTATTTTAGCCAGAAGAACACGGAGCCATTAGTTTTGTTTTAGGGAAAACAGTGAAATGTAACCGCATAAAATATCATGCTACACTTTCTACTTTCGCACATGCACACGAAGTTACCATCTGAAGTCTTCTTTAATTCAGTTTTCAGTTTTTCCTGGTCTTCTACTAATTTTTTATTTTCTGCTTCCAAAATGTGTTCCTCTTCCTTGGCATAGCTTTTCAAGAGCTATCAGAAAAGAGAGTTATGGAAAGAAGTAAGCTTAGACTGCAACAACCACATATTATTTCAGGAAATAGGCTGGATAACATATTTAAAATTATTGGGTCTTTATTTGATTCTTTGTCCTTTTAGTATTTTGTAATTTTCTACAATGTACTTTTGCTGATAGAAACTTGGTATTTGGAAAAACAAAAAGATTTCTTCTTACTAAGGCTGAAATCTCTGAAATGAAAATTAGTTTCTGGTTGGGCTATAATTAAAATTATGTTTTGGAAAAGTATTTAGGTAAGTAATGTGAATGCCTCCATTAAGTGTGTGATGTAAATCTAAGGAAAAAAACAGTTCCGAGGATGATATTAATTGGTAAACCATTATGTTCCAATTACAGAGCTGTCTACTCAGACTATTTTTATGCAGACCAATGTGTAAAAAAGGAATATAATGCCAGGGTGGGGATGGGTAAGTGTAAAATGATAGTGCCATCTCTATGCTTGGAAAATTCTACCTAATTCTGAATAGTCATTGAATAGTCCCCAAATTACTCCTATTCAGTTAATCTTTTACACTGTTTTTTATATTTTAAAATCTATGAGGGCTTTTAAAATGTTTTTTGTATGTTTGTAGATCATCTTTTCTGTTTTTTTTTTTTTTTAAGATTTTATTTATTTGTCAGAGAGACACAGCACAAGCAGGGGAACGGCAGGCAGAGGGAGAAGCAGGCTCCCCGATGAGCAAGGAGCCCAATGCAGTCTCCATGCCAGGACCCTGGGATCATGACCTGAGCCAAAGGCAGACGCTTAACTGACTGAGCCACCCAGGTGTCCCTGCAGATTATCTTTTCTAGGCAAGAAAAATTAAGATGGGAATACTAAAATATTTACTAAAATAAAAATATTCATGGAGTAAAAATTTCACAATTTGTATGTCTAAAAGGAAACTACTATTGTTAATAGAATTAAGAAGCTTACTTATCTTAAAGAAATTTTGAGATATTTAAGTTACCAAGAAAGGCAAATTAGATTAATGTCTGAAAAATATGTATACACTGGCATGGGTTATTGGAATAAATAAAAGTTGCAGCAACTTGATATTGACAGTTTCCATAGTCAGGTAAAAAAAAGCAGCTCAGGCCAATTTTAAACAAAGTGGCAGAAAAGAATTTCTACTGCAGGGTAATTCCTTTTCTAATGTAAGCTGGTATATCCAATAAACAAAATTCACAAAGTTCTACTGAGCATGGGCTACATGCAAATAGATTACAATTTTTACAATTAGGTGATATAAGGGATAAAAATGTAAGAGAAACATGGTCTCTGCTCTCATGTAACTTTAATCTAGTGGAAAGGATGAGACAAGAGCATAAAAACTGTAGCATAAGATCAATACAGTACTATCGTGTTATAATTGAGTTTAGGCAGCTCAAAAGGAGGAATTAAAGCTCATATATTAAAGGAATATATGACCCCAAGTTTTTTAGGAGACAAACACTAAAGTACATACTTAAGCTGAAGGAGCCTCCTATCTTCAAAATTTAAAAAAAATTTTTTAAAGAGCAGGAAGCAGCAAGATTTTTTTCCAAATCTTTGTTTTGTTGCCCACTTCGAGTTCAAAATAATCCTAGCTGTTACTTCACTGAATTCAGTTCACACAGTCTCCGGTGATTACTCAAATTGGAAGAGAACCACTGAGTTGCAGGAATGTTTATACTGACTGCTTGAATTATTATGCCATTGACTTGGAAAAGTTGGGTTTGTGTTGGTCTTGTAAATAAGCTTTCACCTGCAAACTTGTCCAATTTTATTATGTGTGACTTGATGCTGGAGAACGACCAAGAGCCCTGGAACTGAAATTCAATAGCTAGCTACTAGCTACAATAATGCATGTGTTCCCTGTCCCACCCACCTTATACCACCGTGGCCAGTGGCTGGGAAAAAAACTGGTAAGAAGTAAAGCTCCATCACTGTTGTTATTTTAAAGCAGTTAAATTAAAAGTTAATTGGTCTTTTATAATTATTTCATTAACTGAGGATCGGAACAGAAAGGGGTCTCAGGCACCACCTGCAAGTCATTTTAGAAGACAGCATACAAGGGGCACAAAACAATGTAGTTAAGAGTGTGGATTCTAGAGCCAGGCTGCTTGGATTCAAATCTTAGTTCTGTCATTATTAATTAGTTGAATGGTTTTGTGTAAGTCACTTAACCTTTCTGTGCTTCCATTTCCTCATATATAAAATACAGATAATAATAGTACCAACCTCATGGGGTTGTTGCAAGAATTAAGAACTAATACCTTACTGTGAAGGATTTGAAGCAGTACCTGGCATAGTGTTAGCTATATTTATAACCTTGGACCTGAGAACACGTGAGGTGACTTGCCCCAGGTCACAATGCTAATTACTGGTAGAGTTAGGACTAACACCTAAGTCTCTTGGATCTCACAGTAAAAGTGCTTTCCATTAGATAAGGTGTCTCTGATAGAGAATAAAGAGTTGTTTCAGCAGTTTTATCTTTCTTTAGCTAATATTTCAAAATCTACATGAAATATCTCAAAACAGAAGTGATCTTTGATATTCTGACCTCTGGCTTTTCTTGGTTAATTAGTTACACTTTGGGTACTGACAGTATTAATGTGCAGCTCACAAACTTTCTCCTTACTGTGTGCTAGCTTTAGCTCAGCATATTTAGGTGTCTCTGATGATCTGGAGCCAATGACTGGATCCTTCCAATACAGGACAGCATGGAATCAAAGGGGAGGAAAACAAACCAAAAAAAAAAAAAAAGAAGAGAAATTGTGGAGGAATCAAAGAATCAGTAGTCATTAAATAAATTTCCTTGCAAGGGTAACTCGTTGTGAAAATAATACTAAAAGAAAATTTCAAAAACGTTTTGAGGAAGGTGCTTTTTTTGAAGGACAAGACTAATTTAACTATGTTAATTATGGTGTATATGAAAAAAGTAATAGTACCAAAACTTTACAAAAACACTTTCCATTTTCTTAAAGCTGATGCGTAAAAGGAAAACAACTAAAGAATAAGAGGAAGAAAGCAGTGTTCTGTTAGTAATTAGAACTCATTACTCTAACACGATGGGCATAATTTTAAATCAAGATAGGTACACAGTAAGTTTACAAATACAATGCTGGGTGCTTTTGAGTTTAACCATCATATATTAAAGCTTTGAGGGTTTTGTTTTTACTTTTACCATTTTGAAATAAGATCAAAGGATAGGAAATGAAACAAGTAATACTGAGGTACAAAATGAGGCTCATTTTGCTGCTGAAACATTCCAAAAAAGCAGACATGACTTATTGCCTGCTTTTGAATACAGAAATACCACAAGCTTGATTTCCCAGAACTATATTTACTACAAAGGGAAATTTACATGACATCTATGGATCAATGCCTTTTCAAAACAGAACAAAGTAAAAAATAAAGTGATGCTATTCTCTAAAAGTTTCCTTAAAAGATGCTGGTTACAATACCCCCAAAGAAACATTTTTGAATGCTGTTTTATATGAGAAAAGGTATTTCTTTACCTTTTTGCTGTAGTGGAAAAATAAGGCAGACATCATTAGAAATAAAACATGGGTTCTGCATAGGTGACCATTATATTATAGCATCAAACACAATTTTTTTTTGCAGTGAGGTTTGCCTTATTTAATAGGTTCTGGAAAACCTTCTATTGTATTATGTATTGACTAACTCATTTAGAAAAAGGGTGGTACTTATAGTTCTTTCTATAAGAGGCTAGGCTCTAGGACTAAGATAAGTATTTTAATTCTCTACTATTAAGCTCAATACTTTTTACATAAATGTAACGGGGTAATACATAATTGACTATTTGTAATTCATTAATTTATAATAGGAAAATCATTTTATTTTATTATTTAGGAGTGCTTTTTTTTTTTAAGAAAATTTGTTTCACTTCTGAATGGTTCCACTGACACTTTCTTCTAAGAAGGAGAATTAGCAAAACTTATGGGACTTAATATGAACAGCAAACACTCAAGCTATGACATCTTATTCCTAAATTTTATACTTAAGAAAAAAATAATTTTATAGCTATCATTTTCTCATTTGTTCTTTTCATTTGATAGGGAAAACATCAGTTCCTAATATACACTCTGCCTGAATGGCAGAGGAATTACAGCATAGGGTTCTCAAAGGAGTATCAGCAACATGGCCAAATTAAAGATTTTTAAACATTATGTGTAGTCATCAATCTAGCATTAACTACTTTCCTCTGCTCCCTACATTAATGAACATTTAAAAGAAAAACAACAAAAAAAATCAGCCTTAAAAATTATTTAAAAAATAATTTAACTGAAAAGAAAATGGAAACATAGAGACTTATAAAGATTTGCTTTAGTTATAAAGTAAAATTAATGGTAATGAAGGAATTAAAATCCATATTCCCAGCACTGTTTTTTCTTTTAATCACAGGAAATACGTTCAATGGCATTAAAATAGGTTCACTGGCATTCTATTATGGAGGGAAACTGAGAACAAACAAATCTAAAGGAGAATAAGACACTTTGAAACAATCATTTCATAGAACAATATTGCTACTTATGGTCGCTTTTTGCTTACAAATTATAAAAATGTTCTTTTTGATACTGAAAAATAATATACCTCGGGAAAACCAAGAACATTTACACACATTTTCAAAAAGCAAATTTAAATACCCGTTTTAGTCTTTCATTCTCTTCCATGAATTTTTTGGCAGCCTCATTAGTATTTTCTGCTTGAGTTTTAAGTACTCCTTTGTTTGACAGTTCTTTAGCCAGCTGCGTAATAAGGATAACCAGACGTCTCAACACTCTAAACAAACAAAAACATCAAAGTACTGTATAACTAATCATTAGAAACTGATTTAAGATAAACAGTCACTGTCAAATGATTCCCCTTTAGGTATGGGTATGGTGGAGGGAGATAATGTTTAGGGAGGACATATGCTTGTTTGTTTCTTTCCTTTTTTTTTTTTTTTAATCTAAGTCTTTCTGTCAAAACAAACTTGCATCTTGTTCCTTTGGAATCTTTGTTATAAGACTAGCATTTGGAAGACAGGTTCAGCAGTACTTGTTAATTTAATTATCCTCTTTCTAGAGGCCTTTGGCCAGGAGGAGGAGAAACAGAATTTCAGACAGTGTGGCAGGGCGACTAAGAGAAGTCATTTTTGTTCTTTGATTCCCTGCCCCCCACCTCGATATTTGCTATTTAAAGAGCATTGTGTGAGGCTGGCCAAGCCTAAAAACTGCTCATTCACATCGGTTTATGGGTAACTTCCATTGTTAGAAATAGAAATTAGTATCTTCAAATATTCATTCAACAGGTATTTCCTCTGCCAAGTGTTCAGAATTGCTAAACACTGTGCTGGGTACTGGGGACACGGCAGGAAATGAGACAAAGTCCTTCAGGGAGTTTAGGTTCTAGTTGGGGAGGAAAGAGTTAAAACAGTATTTACTTGCAACCATGAATGATACTCAAAAAATACACATATATAGATAAGCTCCATGGAAGCATATAACAGAGACCAACCACCTGCTTCTGGGGTGAGTGATGATCATAAATGGATTCTCTGTGAAAGGGGCTGAAGGATGAATAGAAAGTTAGCCCGGGAAAGACGGGAGTGTTCTGGCAGAAGTTAAAGCATGTGTGAAGACCCTGAAGTAGGAAGGAGTCAGGTACACAATAGGAACTCAATATTTGTTGCAAGAATGAGTGCATGAGCAGATGAAGCTCAGTGTGGGTGGAACATGGTGTGAATGTCAGAGAATAGTAGGAGACAAGGCCAGATCACGCAGGGCCTTATGGACCTAGCAAACTTACAAGCCGTCATGACTATCATTTGGGTATTTCATCTGCATTCTATAGTATAGATAGGAAAAATGAGGAAGAGAAACATAAATCATGCTTTAAAATTGTGTTTTTTTTAAACTTACAGCCAAAAAAATAATGAAAATCCAGAAATGTAAAGATTTCTTTGAGACCTAAAAAGTTTCATCTGTGCATGTTCATAGGCTCCAGGTCTGCTGGTTAAGCCTTTTTCAATGGCAGGTGTAGAGGAATACTTCCTTACTTCTCTCACAGCATCTATTAGAGAAAAAGAGAAAACATTATTTTGACTTTTAATAATATACAATTACTCTTAAAATGGAAAGCAGTTTTAGAACAACTGAACTGACTTTTAAATAATGGACTTTTGGTATGGGCTCTCTTTTTGTCTTTTCCTCTACTATCCCTGGGAGGGCACCATACTCAAAAGAGATGTTCTGCAAATGGATGTTAGTGGGAACCTTTGAATGGAACAGGATTTTTTTTTTTTTACTCTTTATCTAGGGCTTATTATAATTGTACTGTCTCTCATCTCTAGCTACACTGCAAACTGTTATCCTTCACTCTTTCTATGCCTAACAGATTGAGTAAAATCCAACCTACTGACAGTAGCATATAGGTCATCTCCCATTTCAATCAAGTCCAAGAGGTTATCCTATTTTCCTGACTGTACTAGCATTTTATTATACTATTCCTTCAATATTATCAAATTATTATTGTATTAAAGTAAAATTAAGTTATTTAAAGTAATATTATTAAAGTAATATTAATATATTAAAATATTATTAATAATTAATCCTAGTAATAGTAATGTGACTTTACTGAGATTTTAGAAATATTTGGTTACACTGACATTTCCACTGGCATAGGTTAAAATGGAATTTGACCTATGGGGGCATGTGCTCCCCCAACGGGCACATGGACGGCATCTGCTACTAGAAACATTCAGAGAGCTGCACTTTTGATGTGTTCAGTTCCGTTAAGTCTCAGAGGCTACAGGGGATCTATTTCTTTCTAGTGGAAAACAGATTTCAGCTTATTCCTATCTATATTTAGTGCACTCTTAAGTCACTGGATTCTTGTAGGTCCTAGGTAAGGTATCTGCCCCTTAGGTGTCTCAAAGATCAGTGGGGCCAACAAGTCAGACTGCTTCTTTCATGTAGCCATCAGCATTCTTAGGAAAGAGTTATTGCCACAGGAAAGGGATTCCAGTTAGAAAACTGAGGCCGCTTAAACTATTTTAGTTTTTAAAGATTTTATCTATTTACTTGAGAGAGCGAGCGAGCATGTGAAAGAGAGCACGAACAGGGGGAAGGGGCAGAGGGAGAGGGAGAAGCAGACTCCCCGCAGAGCAGGAAGCCTGACACAGCTCGATCCCAGGACCCCAAGATCATGATCTGAGCCGAAGGCAGACACTTAAAACGACTGAGCCACCCAGGTGCCCCTATTTAATTTTAATAGCAACTTTATTGAGTTATAACTCACATACCTTAAAATTTATCCCTTTAAAGTATATAATTCAGTGGTGTTGAGTATATTCACAAAGTTGTGCAACCAACACCACTAATTTCTGAATATTTTCATCAACCCCCTCAGAAACCCCAAATCCATTCTGCCCTTCCCCCATCTCCCAGCAACCACCAATCTACTTTCTGTCTCCATGAATTTGCCTATTCTGGACATTTTATATAAAAGCAAATATTTACTATGTATTTTTTTGTGTGTCTGCCTTCCTTCACTTAGCATATGTTTTCAAGGTTCATCTGTGTTGTACCACGTAGCAGTATGCAGTGGTAGAATTTCTTGCAGAGCTATCTGGTTTTATTCTTTTCTGATGGGGGTAGCTTTTTTTTTAACTTTCTGTAATTCTTCTATAGAAAATTTGCTTAAATTTTCTATATCTACTAGAATTCATCTGGTAAGTTATATTTCTCTACAAAATTATCCATTTCATCTAGGTATTCAAAATTATTTGCAGAGAGGTATATGAAATAGTCTTTTTTATTTTTTAAAAAGATTTTATTTATTATTTATTTGAGAGTGGGCAAGAGAGAAAGAGAGAGAGAGCATGAACACGTGGAGGGAGAGGGAAAAGCAGACTCCCCACTGAGCAGGGAGCCAGATGTGGGGCTTGATTCCAGGACCCTGGGATCATGACCTGAGCTGAAGGCAGCCGCTTAACCGACTGAGCCACCCAAGTGCCCTGAAATCGTCTTTTTTTAAAAAAGATTTTATTTATTTGAGAGAGAGCACACAGGTGCACATAAAGAGGGGGAGGGGCAGAGAGAGAAGCAGACTCCCCACTGAGCATGGAGCCCAACCGACTGAGCCACCCAGGTACCCCAGTGTTTTAAATTATCTTTAAAAAATTTTCTTGATCTTAATGGCTATTTCCTCTATTTCTCAGATTGCCACAATAATATATTTCTCAGATTGCCACAATAATATAGTAAGAGCATACCAACCAGCACGAGACAACTAAAAAAACCCCAAACACAATGGTATTTATGAGTTATTTTAAGCAGGCCAAAGAAGCCACATAGTAATATGAAGGATCCTTATGCTTGTTATTCAGCTTCTTTGGCTTTTAAATAAAAATATTCCAGGATCCATTATGCAGAAATGCTGAAGATTAATAAATAATATCAAAGAACTTTATAAATGTAAATGGCCATACAAATCCACCTACAGAATAAAATCACCTGTATTAAAGCAAGGAAACTGTGTCTGAAAAATGAAACAGGGGCAATCGTATGGGCAGGGTGTGACGTATGGTCAGTTTTCTAGAAACCATATGGAGACAGCCTTTTTTTTGGGATCACTCGTGGAACCTTTCAAATTCTTGGGATGCATTTCTGCTGACACTGAACATATTCCTGGTTTCCTGCTTCCTTTCTGCCTATTCCCACCCCTTAAAACACACATATGCACACACGTTCAGTCAGTACTGGCTCCAGGAACACGAACACCTTGTAATAATTACCTTATTAGAGAAACAACCAATAAGAAAAATGAAATAAATTTGAAAGTAAAATATAAATGAAACTTGGGTAATTACTGGTTTTCCATAATTTATACCATTGTCATTCTGGTGGAGAAGAACACTGGACTGTGTATTTTACATTCACTACTGCATTTAAACCTTTGAACACCTCAGTGGAGCAGGTGTAATTACCCTCTTCTGAGATGGAAACACTGAGGCTTAAAGCATAGGTCCCTATCTGCCTGCCTTTACCATCCAAGGTCAAAGGTCCTGTATTAACCATCCATGATGTCCCTATTCTCTGACAATTAATTACCCACTCTGCCCACAGAAGCAGGTTCCAGCCAGAGGTCATGGTTCTGCTTTGTGACTCCTATCCCCGGCCATAGCTTACCAGACAAAGGTTGGATACTTAGTACTAGCTGGCTCATTTATTTTCTTTATAATTGGAACTGGGATTCAGAAATGGCTAGTTAATCCTGGCATATGGCTGGAGTGATGATACTTGGCAGCTATATGGTGCCCACAGCTATATAGTTGAGAACAGAGTCCACAGGGATAAGGAAGAATGAAGTAGACCCATGGAGCAATGAAGGGACGTGAAAAGGACACTTCAGTTCCTAAGACTAGTCCCTTCCTGGAATTTGGCTTCCTTCCTTCCCTGAGCTGCTGTACAACAACTCTGTATTTTATTATAAGTTCCCCTTTCTTGCTCAAGTGAGCTCCAGTTGGTTTCTGATATATGTAACCAAAAAAACCTTGTACTACCGTTTTCCTTCCTTATATGGATATGTGGCAGTTTTCGGTAGAAATTTTTGTGATAATTTTAGAGTTAAAAGATCATAATACTACAGGCGTGCCTGGCTGGCTCAGTTGGTAGAGTTTGCGATTCTTCATCTTGGGGTCATAAGTCTGAGCCCCATGTTGGGTGTAGAGATTACTTTAAAAAAAAAAAAATCACAATACTAGAGCCAGAAGGAGCTGCAGAAATGACTGCTTTTTCTCGCTTTGTTTTGCAAATGGATAAACCAAACTCAGAGAGATGAAATGCCATTCCAAAAGGCATTTAGTTAGTTGATGGTAGAGCTGGGACCCATTTTTCTTATTGTCCTTTAATTGTTTAGTGTTATTTCTTTTTTTTTAAAGATTTTATTTATTTGACAGAGAGAAACACAGCGAGAGAGGGAACACAAGCAGGGGGAGTGGGAGAGGGAGAAGCAGGCTTCCC